CTATATCCACCAATAAAATTCCGTGACGTGAGTCGCGTCGCGACTTTTTAAAACTCAGCTAGATTGTCCTGCAATAGCCGCAATTACTGTCGGCATGAGTCGCGTCGCGAAATAGCAATATGATAGTGATTGCGCTAAGAAAAACTATACTGAATTCTTAAGAATGGAATCGATGCAGATTTAGAGTCCTGCCGCGAGATCGCGAGTGTGTAGCGATCACGCCATGACTTCGCGAGTATATAGCGATCGCGCTGTGACTATGAAATCGCGATTGGACTCCTACAAAATATTTTTTCTAAAAAACATGAGTTTACCAAGATCACGACGTGATAACGTGACTTTGTAGCGATCGCGACGCGACAGCCATGAGTTTATAGTGATCGCGATCGCGTCGCGACTTAGACGTGACCGTCGACCTGGGGACTTATCGCTCCCTCTCTCATGCCACTTTTTGTATACTCCTAGCTTTAGTCCTACTGTCCATCCAAAAAAGGCATTTTCAACGCTTTACTACCGTCAACTTTCGCAAAAACGACAGAAAGTGGTACTAGCCATTTCAAAAAAAATTGAGTTTGAATATTTCTGACCAGATACAGAATGCATCAGCAGTTTAAATGCATGCAATGTTAGCGCTAAATTTTCCATGCATTCTGTATCTGGTCAGAAATGTTCAAACTCAGTGTTTTTCGGAATGCTATTAACTAAATGTGATTCTTTTGCAATATATTTAGAGTCACGAAAATCCACCACAAAAAGCGTTTTAGACTATAGCAACTGTATTCCTTAACTATAGGACTAAATATATTTTGATGCATATTTCTTTTATTTATTCATTATATTATTTATTATTTTGCATCATAAATCATTGAGCTATAATGAACTATCAGTAAGCACGTACGGTAATTCAGCTAATGTATCATTCAACTTAACAGAAAAAAACCTCTTCCCTGTTTATGCACATAAACGAACACTCTCACCATGTACTTTTAGAGCGATGACAGATTTAGAGTGCGAATAGTACGCGTGACACTGTGTACCTTCGAAAGAAAAATATTCGTTTTATCGAACAGATGTGGTTTTAAAGATACTTTTTTTATGACTACCATATCCGTTTCTAAAAGTTCAAAGTTCATCCTACTTCATATTTTCTTGAATCAGACATTTGACTCTAACTATTTTTCATAAATCAAGATGTCAAAGAATATTTATTATCATTCATGTAAAGAAAGATTAAACTATACAAAAGCGTTTAGGAAACAAGAATATTGAGTATCGGTGTTATATATTTGTTGTAATAATATTATTAATATTACGTGTATCATGAATTTGTGGCAGTGTAGCTGTTGTTTGTAAGTCTTCATAAGATGGTAATTTCCATTCATGTTCAGTTTTTGAGTTAATTGCTTCATCATATTTTGGTGGTAAATCTAATTTATGTTGTTCATCGATGATCGCAATTGACTGGTGCCGTGAAGTATTTGTTAAATCCCTACGATTTCTAGTTTCTGATGGTTTATTTTTACATAACATGAGACATATTCGAAGAAGTCCAAGACCGAGCGCCACACCAGCTAATATCAAGGCTGTTCGTCTCAAATTTGTGGTAAAATTATCGTAATTATTAGCTCGCGATCTTGTAGTTTTTCTTGCTGTTGAAGTTTCATTGTAATTTGAATAAGATTCAAAACAGTCGCTGTAGCTATTACAAATTCTTATTTTTACTACATTTTGTTCCAAAATTGGTGAACATGAACAATCATAAGTGAAGAGGATAAAAATATATGTGAGTATCAAATAAATCATAATTTGTCTTTAGAAGAAATAAGATGAAAGAGAAATTTCTATTTACATCACACCGATATCTCCTTAAATATAAATGACACATAGTCAACAATGTTAAAAATGATGATAAATTCATATAGACACTTCGACATTTTTTTAACTGTGTTCTCTTTTCTTTTTTTATTTTGTCATAAGCACCAAAAAAAAAATGTGATTTTTTTATTCTCAGGTTTTCATCAAAACTATCATTTATTGACATTATATAAACGTGTATACATGTACTTGCATATAATACGCCAGAAGAAGAAAAAAGTCAGTGTGACAACAATATAAATCATACACGTTCTAATTCTATTGTTATATTATGTAATCGAAGAAATACACGGGAATTTTGTTGCAGTGAAACCATTCTTAGAAAAGAAGAATCTCTTAATAAAATTTTGATCAAATACAATTTTTTATTAAGTTTTATGCTTATTATTCGTTTTTCTTGAGTCTAAGAAACTTAGATCAGATTTAAGATTCTAAACAATCGGTAAATTTATTTTTGAAATTCTTGTTTTTTGTTATTTATGACTCTTGTGTGTTGCTGAACATCCTTTTTTGATCTAGGCGATCCTTTACTTACAAAATTGCTGTTTCATCCTCCTCACATAAATAATCGTTGTCATTGTTTAGAACAGATTAATGAGATTTACAATGCGCCGTCATCATTTTGGGATTTATTCTAATTTACTTTTTCACATGCTATCTTTATCAAATGCTGAGTATGATTTTTGATTGACATCCATTTGTTCTGTAGCTGATGAATTGTGACTCTTTCGTCCTACACGATATTGTTGTTTATCATCATGACGCTGAACAAATTTTTCTACCTTTTTTGCACCATTTATTCGATTTCTATTTTGTTTTGTCTTTCTCGCTCGTGTATCATCGACTTTGGATATACGCGATGTTCTAAAAGTTTTTTTTCTTTTCTGTTTTGATTCTATTGAATCTTGTCGTGATTTTAATGGTGCTTTCTTTCCTTCTCGCATAAAATCTTGTACAATTTGTTGTTCAACATATTCGGACATTGGTTTAGATGGTACCCATTCACTTATATCAGTTATAGCATCCTCTGTTTCTGGCATTGTTCCATTATGTATATGGCGTTTTGATGTGTCACTCTTTTTAACGGGATCATAGATCATTTTTAAATAATTATTCTGATTAGCAACACAAAGTTCAATATCTTCGGCTGTTGTTAGTGTGCCGAATTTTTTTTCAAGGTTTTGTCGAATCTAGAAAATAAAATGACAGTATAAGAAAATATTAGAAAAGAATATAGTAACTACGCATGCATGCTGTAAGTATATCAAAATTAATGATTGAAAAAATGTGATTATAATGTTAAAAATGAACTATGTACGTCGAAAATCATGCCTTTCAAGCAATTACAAGGTACACAAAATAGTAGAGGTTAATTTAAGAACCATTCTCACATCGGCCAATAGACAGGTTCAGCTGAGTACGCTGGTTCAAATTGTTTCCAATAAGAAGTTAATAGAAGTTGTGCAAATTGTTCATCTTCTATAGGAGAATAATGTGAATATCGACGTCGTAAACTGTACCATTTCTGTAGATAAATAATACTTTTTTTGTTTCTATTCTAAGATAATAAATTTATCATTTTTAATTTACTTACTTTTTTCACATCATATGTTTGATATTTCTTTAATTGCTCGCAGAATCCATAGTTTGGATAAATGAAACCTCTAGCTCCTTTAACAATTTGCATTGCTTTATCTAAATCACAGTCCATAATTGTCATTAAATACGCGAGTACAATGGTTGCTGATCTCGAAACACCAGCTTGACTAAAATTTAAAGTAACACAATTCAATCAATAAATGATCCTTCTAAATGGTATACATACCAATGTACCAAAACATCCTTTCCATCGAGTCGTGCTGCATGAATAAATTCGATGCATTTCTCAAAATGTTGAGATAAATTTTGTTCGATTGAGTCTGCTGCTTGAACATTAAGTATGGTGTAAGACTGGGAAAAAAAAAGACATCAAATCATAGATGAATTTTATTAACATTTACACTTAAAACTAGATACATACGCCTTCTTTATCCACAATTATATCTGGCACATCAATAACACATACAATGTGCGAAATTTTATTTTTTTTCATGGCCAGGATGTTTTGTCTATCTCTTACACTACCCAAAAATAAATGAGGTAAAACCTGTGAAACACATTATAAAATAAATTAGCTATTCTATCGTAATAGATCTATCGTTTTACTTACGAGAGACATATTCTTTCCCATGGGATCCGCTCCCGGAGTATATTTGTTGACAGATCGATTAGTTGTCTAAACACAAGGCATATTTGAAAACATAAATAATATGTTAAATAATGAAATTGTTGCTCAGCAGAATCAATACTGCCTAGTTACTTCTTTTTCGTGAATAATTAACAAGTGGGACAGCAAGTATTCTTTAATTTTTTTATTAACCTGTTAGGAGTTTAGGAATGACCTGTTTTTGTTTTATTCTGTTTATTTTTCATAATTTGGGATATTATAATATCAAATAACAATATAGTTCAACTAAATAAAAGTTGAAACGACAAAAGAAAACTCACTGAAGACTACCCACCGGACATCTTCGATTTTTCGTTTTCTTTTTATGTTTATTTTAATTATTTTTGTACTAATAAGTAACTAATTTTTGTAAGTTACCAAGAAAATACACGACTCTTACCTCATTAAAATGTAATCGTCCACCTCTGGCGAGATATCGTTCAGAAAAACTCATTGTGGAAATAATATCTGTATATGTAGAAATGTTTGTAGCAACAACAAGAAAGCAATGAGAATATATACAAAAATTCTTCCTACTTGTAAGATCGTCTCGCCTCTCAAGAAAAACAACAGCAAAACTCCTTGATACATATGGTTATATTTTCTGTCGGCATATCATTTATTAATAGAACCATATTTTTATCAGAATTGTTACGAATCAGAACGAGAGAAAGATAACACATACACACATAGAGCAAAATATCTGTACAACAAAACTTAAATCGTCTGTCTTATTCTTCCTTATTTATGCCTTAACCATAAAGTATATCAGAAGCAGAAGATAAAAGTCATTGTGACTTTTGATGCTTGAATAGAATAACATAAGACCATATTATTGATGACCAGAGGTTCACCTGGACTTAAAATAAAAGTCAATTCAATTTCCGAATACTTAAATTATATCACCAACAGAAAAACAGAGTTCATGCAGAAAAGTACTTTTTCACATCCAGCATACTCGATAACTCCGAAGATTTTCTGTTTTGGGCGAGAGAGATATTGCCAAAAGTTCAAGAGAAATTTTAAAACTTTTTTCACCATTTTGTTCAAAAAATTTTCCTAAACTTTTGACAATACCTTTCGCCAAAAACAGAAAATCTTCGAGATTATCGAGTGTGTTGAATATAAAAAAGCATTTTTCTCCGTCTGCATGAACTTTATTTTTTTCTTTATGTTGATATGTTTTATCGATCAGTTCAGCGCATACGAAATTCTGATACAAAGCAAATTGTTGATATATCAAAATTATCAGCTTTTTTCGCCTTTTCTAACACGTTAACCTTTATCTGAAACTGTATAATACAACTAAATATCTTTCATGATAAGTGCTTTTGAGGCGCAAATGTAACTAAAAAACCCAATACGACGTTAACGTTGCCCTCCTACATTCTTATCTGGATTCTTCTGATAAATTTTTCTCATTTTTAATTTAATTGCTTTTTTGCCTGCTTTTAATTGCTTTAAATATTTGTTGTAGTAGCATTGTTAATATTACGTGTATCATAAATTTGTGGTAGTGTAGCTGTTGTTTATAACTCTTCATAAGATGGTAATTTCCATTTGTGTTCAGTTTTTGAGTTAATTTTTTTTAGTTAAGTTTTTTAGTTAATTGCTTCATCGTATTTTGGTGGTTAAATCTAATTTATGTTCTTCATCGATGATCGCAATCGTCTGGTGCCATGAAACATTTGTTGCACGTTTTATGCTTTTGCTTCGGACATGTTTATTTCTTCCTTCTAAAAAAACACGTTTTCTATTTTTTAATGAGTAATGATATAAAGAATTTTTCTATGAACTACCATTGGTTTTTATTCAAAAACATTCAACTTTTTCCAAATTTCTGACGTCTGAGCTTTTAGTTTCAATTTTTACACATTTAGATGCACGATATTTTTCGAAATTTACTTTTAGTATCTACAGGTTGATCCAAAAGTCACCGGGCAGTCTTTGGTTGCGATTTTTGGAACACTTCCGAGTGACCTAAAAATCTGGTTTTAGTCTCATTCGATAGAGACTTAAATTCTCTACAAATCTGGTATTTAAATCTCTGATAGCATTTTTCTTGTTTGAGCACCATTTAGAATAATGAATGGTACGAAGTTGTCGAACTGCAACACACTGAAAATAGAAAAATATTCGCCATGATCCAAAAATAGATTCCATAAAAATTTTTAAAATATCAGAAGACTCACCGGAAAACTCTGCATCTTCTCACATAGTTTTCGAAATGTTGCATTAAGTCTTCTAAGAAAATTTCTCTGTGCAAAAACTGATAAATCTAAAACAGCCTAACTTTTGAACCTATTTTTCACAAACTTCAGTTTTTAACTATAAAGGCATATCATAAAAGATATATTTACTAATGTTTTTGTGGTTCTATATTTATTGTTTGTGTTTAGAATGCAATTTTTAATTTATAGTAAAAGTTTTTATCGGTTAATGTTAGGTTGGGATGGGTTAGGTGTAGTCTCTTTTTATTTAATTTATAGGATTTTAACCTTATTATCACAGAAATAAATTCTGCATCTTTTGGTATATAAACAAAATTTCTCAACTGGAATCATTAAGTAAAAAGTTTAATTTAATTTGAAAAAATTGTAAAGTCGGTTGAGAACTAATTATGAGTTCAGCTGACGTAGCAGAAACGTTGTATGCAGTTGTAAATGAGTGAGATCGATAGAGCATACAATTCTCTATCTATCTACGTAGAAAAATTCAATATTGATTCCCAGACAATGGATGAAAAATCTCAAAAAAAGACGACAAAAGCACGTCGCAGTTCGACAATTCAGCACCATTCATTATTTTGAATGGTGCTTAAACGAGAAAAATGCTATCAGAGATTTAAATACCAGATTTGTAGAGAATTTAAGTCTCTATCGAATGAGACTAAAACCAGATTTATAGGTCACTCGGAAATGTTCCAAAAATCGCAATCAAAGACTGCCGGGTGACTTTTGGACCACCCTGTAGTGTCATTTACTCTTTTACATATATTTGTAGTTGTGTACGTTTTCATAATAAACTCTCAATAATTAAAAAAACGCTGTCATATGAATATTTATTTGGTTTTGAAAAAATAATAAAGTCTAAAAAAGTTTTTGAAAATCAATGTAGAATTTTAAAAGAAAATTATTCCTAAATAAAGCGTGGGCACTATTGAATCGTACAAAAACAAAAATTCTGTCATCGTATGATTGCTTTTTTTGATCGATTGTATATATCTTTGAGATATTTTTCATATTCGAGAAAATTATGATATTGATTCGATTTTTTAGATCAATCAGAATACCAATAAATACCGATGTTTTGTTGACAAATTGCTTTTCATATAAACAAGTTATCTATATCCCAAGAGATTTATCACAAAACAGAGGAAACAAATAATTATAGAATATACGTAACAGATACTGTCTATAGTTCAAGAGATATGAAAGAAAATTTTAATAGATACTTGATGTTTGTATATATTTGCATAAAATTTATTAATGTAGATGGACAACAGAACTTTGTGTTTCATTTTTACAGTAGTCAAAAGTTAGATATATTTGAACCGTTGTAGATGATCTTGCTTCTAATGAGATTTTCTGGTACTTCTCAATATTATATAATTCGAAATATTTTGTAAATATATAACTGACTGCATTCTTCCTGTCGCTACAGACTAGAATGTACGCCTAGAGGAATTATCAAGATGAAGAAAGACGTCTGTATCAGAGATCGAATGTGTGATCCAAATCCGATTTAATCCGAATTGTTTACAAACTTCTTAGATTTTACCGTGAATATCTTTTGTCGTTGATCCAACAATGACCTGAAGCTGAAAATCGTTTTCTGGAAACGTATATTGTCGAAGTGCGTCTGAAACCTACATTGTGAACACTGAAACCAAACATTAAAAATAACGGGATGTCTTTTTCTCAATAGATAAAGACATATTTTCGAAAATGACTAAAATACATTCGATGAGAATCAACTTCTGTGCTTCCTTTTAGTAGCATGACCCCGATTAAAGTCACAACTAATTTTTTCTTTAACCTGTATCGAATCACTATGTTCTGCATATAAACGTAAACGAAAGAGAATACGCAACCGAAATAAAATAAAAATTGTATTTTGAATCGTATTGATGCCCACTAAACTTGTCAGCCGATTGTTTCATTTCACAATTAGCGATTTTTTTTTTATTGTTTTTATTGAAAAATGAGAAAGAACAAAAAGAGAAAAAAACGAAAAAATGAAACGGGCTAACATCCTCTTTTTGTGTTGATGTTGTCGGGTTCTTTTTTGTATGAGAATATTTTTGGTTTTTTTATACAGATAAGTACAAATTGAGGACAATAGTAATAAAAAAAACAACAACTATGTTTAGACGCGAGCGAGACAGACACAGAGAGAGAAAAATAAGAAAGAACAACAAACGAAGAAAAAAATGCAACAAAAAAATAGCCACAATTCTCGTAAACAAAGGAGAACAATGAGAGAGAAAAGAGCATGACATTGCTTCTCTTCTTTGTTAATTTGATACAGTTAGTATTTTTTCTTCAATCATATGCATATCTTGTCTATCATTGACACACCTCTCACATTTATATTTGACTAGTGTGTTCTAAATGTGTGTATAAAATATAAAATACTGTTGAATTATTCTCTCACAAAACACGAATCATTTGTTAAAAAAACACAAAGAACTGTTTAAGACGAAGGAAAAAGAAAAAAAATAACAATCTTGCCAAATACGTTTGCATTTTGGATACGAACACAGAAAAAAATAGAGAGACAGTTTGAATACACACAGTGAAAACAAAAACAAACTGATCATTTTGAACAAATTCAAGATTTTGTCTTAAACTTTTCACTCTCGTTGACTCTTTCATTTTCTCACATTATGGGAATATAATCTTGAATCATTTCTTATTATTCTAAATAAACAAAGAAAACGTGAACAATAGAATTAAAATGATTATCGAATATTATTAAGAAAAAAAAGGAAAAATTTTAATGACAACTCTCTATTTCCAATTAGAGATGTCGTTAAACTTACCCTGTGTTACATTTGTTTCATCTTTCGGATCATTAGTTGTCTCTTTTACGTCTGTATTATTATCTTTGCTTTCTGTTTCATCATGTAGAGTTTTTTTCTGTTGACGAGGTGACAAAGGAACACAAGTCATTGTTGACGATGAGGATGATAGTGGAAGAGCACTATTTGGTTCGTTCGAAGATATTGAAGCATTGACTGTATTGCTAACTGTATCTGCATTGTTCGAAGAGGTATTTTCATTCTCTTTTGTTTCTGTTGAAGATGGTGGTGGTGACGATTGTTTTTCTTGTGATGTAATGGGAGGATTATGATTATTATTGATATTAGTATTATTGTTATTATTATTGTTATTACTAGTCGAAGAACGATTGTTGCGATTTGAGTGATCGTATTGTTGTTGCGAATGATAATAGGAATTTTTAGGATAAGAATGATATTGATGCCGTGGTTGAGCTACCATTGGTGAGGCGCCGATTAAAGGCTGACCAACATATAAATCATTCTTCAACAAAAAGAAATAAAAATTAATCAAAACAAAGCAAGAGTTAAGTTTTGATTGTGTAAAATATTATTTTATCTTCAATTAGACTATCATGATTTCGACAATTGGAAAAAGTTTTGATTCAAGGACTTTGCAAGTTATTTCCTTATTGAAGTATTTTAACTTTGAACAGATTTTCTTTCTACAAAATTCTAATTATGTTACCTCCGTCATATTTCATACATACTCAGTAAAATGTTTGTTCATAAAGAATAGTCTAAGATTATGTACGCTCAACAAAGATGTAGTATTAAGGTACGTTTCAAACTGCAAATGAAACTTTGCTGGATCAGTTTAAGATGTTTTATGATAACGATAAAAATTTGTTTAATCATAAATTAAATGCGTTAAATAACATGCAATCTACTTAAAATCTTCACTAGTTTTCGATATATTTCATACTTTGGCATCCTTAAATAATATAAACAATAATTGGTTCTTAAGCTGTTTTTTTTTTCTCGAAATAACATTTCTTTTACTTAGAAATAAAAATATTCAGAATAGTATATAAGAATGGTTCGCTTGATTCTACTCCTATGTCTCCATCGAAATAAGCTACGTTAAGGGAACGGAATTTTATGTGTGATCTTTTAACTTTCGATGATATACGTACTTTTCGAAACGATGGTGTAGTACTCGATGTTTGTTGATGTTGATATTTGTTGTGTTGTTGATAGCGCGCTTGTGGATTATACGATTGTTGTTGCTGATGTAACGACCGAGAATTTTGTTGAGCTGACTGGGAATGATGATATTCCTCAGTGCCGTTTGACGAATGAGTGGCATTATTAAATGCTGCTAACAGCATCGGTTGATTGAAAATTGTAGTTGTATTGGGATTTCCAGATGTTTTAGACGAACCAAACGCTAGAACACTCGACATTCCATTATCAAATACTGTCGCCGTTTTTAGTCCAGTATTCGATGATAATGGTGTAATTCCAGTAAACTGATAGGGCATTGTACCCGTTGAAGCTTGTATTGCACCTACAGAAAAAAATCACTATTTTTTCTTGCAATTTTTGATGAACGAGAAATAGAAACACGAAGCAAGAATGTACTGGTTATTCTGCAGATGTAAAAACTCAAACTTCTTCCTTAAATTATAAGAATAATGGATTACCTTGAGTAAAGTTTGGTTGTGATGGATTGAATGTTTGAGCAACTGGTGGATTTGTACTAACTGCATCAGCAGAATATAGACGATACTGCTGCTGCTGTGATTGAGGTGTAGGCGGTTGTTGTTGTAATGTTAGTTGTTGTTGCAACTGTTGGTGTTGATAGGCTTGTCCAGCAATTGTCGAATAGGAAGCTGTTGTTCCATCAGTTGTCGACGTTGCCGAACGATCTTGTTCGGGACGATATAACTAAAAATCAAAACATGATATATAAGCACGTAATGATTAAATGAAATTTATTGTTCCTAGACATACGTGAAGATAATGTCCTCCCGTTGATAATGTTCCATCTTGGTTAATCGTTGTTAGTGGATACGATGTTGACTGTGGTTGAGTGACATAGACATATTGACTTTGTGCAGTCGGTTGAGAAGGTAATAAATAAATTGGTAAACCTTGCGCATTTTGATGTGGATGCTGTTGTTGTTGTTGTTGCTGTTGTGTCAGAGTCGTGCTTGCATTTGTTTGAACAAATGCTGGATGAGGATGAATCTGATGTTGAGGCTGATTATGATGTGTAAATGTTGGAACGATTCCAACGGGAAATAAATTAGGGTTATAGTCATATTCGCTGCTAGTTTGTGGTTGCGATGGATAAATGAGTGGAACGGAAAGTGGAGAACGTAATCCAGCTGGATTAGAATGTAGAAAATATTTATTATCCATTTGTGTAGAGTTGTTAAAACTATTTGGTGCTTGCACGTAAAACTGTTGCTGCTGTGATGGTAGATGATGCTGTTGATTTGGATAAATTGGAGCTTAAATAGATAACGTGTTAATATAAAATGTGGACTAAATAGCAGCTGCAAATTACCAAAAACATGAAGAGTCATTGTGTGAAACTAGCAGAATTGATACGATTATATCAAAAGTTTCAAGCAGATATTCCCTCCACTCGCAAAGAAAAATGTATAACTTAGTATGAATTTGCATTTGCAATAGCTTTGCAGATGAAGAAAATTCAACTTATAATAGAAGATTTAATCGAAGACGAAAGGTCAAACTATAAGAAAAGCACATACTTCTTGCGTTAATATCTGTTGTGTTCGCTGATTTTGCTCCATATTGATGACTATATTGATTGCTATTGTTATTATTCGCTGATATATTTGCTGTTGATTGAGTTGAATTTTGATAATAATGTTGAGATTTATTATTTCTATTTCCACTGTTCACTGAATTATTATAGCTTTGGTGTTGTTTACGACTCATATTATCTGATACCCGACGATCTGCTGATGACTGTTGTTCATTCGTTCTCGATAAATCACTTTTAAAATGTTGTTTCGGCTGTACTTGAATATTTGAATAAGAGTTTGTTTGTGTCTGATGGCTATCGTTTATGTTTGTCATATTTTTGCACAATTTTTGTTGTTGTCGTTGATCATTATTCAGTACTTTAACATTATGTTGCTGTGGTTGTTGTACTGGCTCACCTGGTTGTACGCCAGGACTATTAAATATTTTTTTTCTCACTTCATTATAATGTTGTTGTCGCTCATGATAGGGTTTTCGTTGATGCTGTGACGGAGAAGGTTGTGTAAGCATATAATTATTATAATTGGGGGCACCAGTTGTCGATGACGACGATGAGGAAGAGGCTGATGGTGCGCCGTTTGCTGTATCGTTGATATCACGTCGTCTTAAAATTTTCTTTGTATTATTGATACTACTACTATTCGTTGATGGCGTCACTAAATCTGTTGTATCAACGATATCTGTTGGGGGACTTGAAGCAGATGGCGATGGTGTAGGTGGTTCATTTTCTGGAATGCAGTTTTCAAAGGAAAATGACGGTCTAAAATAACATGAAAAAAATGATTTTTTTGATAATATCTTTTATAAAGTCGAATATTCGTGCTCACAAAAAGAGCATACTTGAAGAATTTAATAGTCCTCAATAGAGAAAAGGTACCTGGTTGTTTTATCTAAATTGAACAGAACAGTACAGAAAAGTATATAATGCAATGTACTAGCAAGCATATATTGTCTACTTCTTAAAAGATTCTGAGAATTGGCAGCAAATCGCAAACATTTTATAATATTTGACTTACATTCGTGTATTTTGAGTTTTCTGACAAATAATTGCTGCTCCGGTTTTATCAACATTGTGATCCAAGCCAAAAAATGCACTGACACGATGCACAATCATACCTGAAAAGAAATACGTGAATCCAAATATTTTTGCAGAAATGTGTTCTAAATCATACGCTGATATGAATTCATTGCTTGAAACTGATATGTTTTTACTTTTGTATCGTTAATAAATTCTCGAAATATTTGTTCTAACTGAAACATTAACGAACGATCTTTCGGATTATTTTTAATTGTACGTGAAATAAATGTTTCCGTATCAATTCCACTAAAATCTTTGTAAGGTTCTGGTGTAATTACGTTATTGTTAATAACCACTTTATTATCATCATTCGAGAAAGAAAGAGCTTTTTCACTTTCTGGCGATACTGGTTGAATTGTCTCATCTTGATTGTTCGCATTTTCATTATTGTTAACAAGAGTTTCTTCGTGAGGTTTCTGTTGTTTTTCGCTTGATAATGGTAAACTAGTTGTTTCATTAATTGTTGATGACTGTTGCTGTTCGTCTTCTTTTTCATGATTGACTTCTGTACTATTATCCTAAAGAGAGTATGATGAGAGAAAAAGGTATAACAGATTGAGTTTCTAAGAAATAACTTACTGTATCAAACTTTTCTGTAATTCCATTCTCTAATGGATACTGATCATGAACATGTTCGTCCGCTGCAGTTATAGCTAAAACAAGAAGGAAAAATATTTTAAACGTCTTGAAGGTGATAGTGGAGAAGATAATTTTAACTTCTTATCCCACTACGATAGCAGATATACTGAAGTAATGATAAAATAACAAATTTTTACGTTCCTTAATTTATACTGCTCGGCTACATAGGCTATTCTCTTTAGCAGTGCCTAAATAAAATAAGCGCCTGATTTAATACCTTTCAGTTCGATAGTTTCATTATTATTACTATCACACAAAGTCGGACTTTGTTTTAAATGCAAATGAACATTTGTTGGTGATTGACAACAAGCATCGACTGACATTTTGGTTTTGGTTTTTCGATAATATTATTATTATATTTAATACTTTGTACAAATGACAATGTTATAGCACCATCTTCTATGGATAAATATAAATATCAATTAGTAAAACCAAAGGTCACGTGCACGGACTGCTAACTAAAACGAAAGATAAAACAGAATTGAACAAAAAATAACACTTTATTTTTTTTGTTTTTGTAATTTTACCTGTTATTTGACGTTTAACTCAAAAAATAGACTTCATATAAAAGAACACGAAAGGAGAGAAAGTATATTCAGTAAAAAAAATAGATATAGATTCGAACAATAATATGAATCTACAAAAACCACCAATATTTTGCCTAAATCTTAAATCGTCAATACAAATATGATATGTGAATTTGACTTCAAAATAGAAAAAGCATTTTCAGCCAAAATAACAACAAAAAATGATTCGTTAAATGAACGTCATATCTAGAAAGCAAAATAATAATTAAAGAGAGACTTCGATTCACACAGAAAAATACAGCCATATTTTTGGGATTTGTTTATTTATTTCTTCATTCCAGTGGCTGATATATTTAGATTATCGGTCGATCCTAACTGTGATTATTAATACTTCAAATTTCAACCATAAACCGAGAAAAAGAAGCCATGACGGAGATTCAAATCTGCTAATAGCCTTATTAATGTCCAAAAGATTTTTCTCAAAATAATGCTTTATTATAATAGAGACGAGAAGATCTTAATTCAATTAACTTCATAGTTTTTGAATTTATTTTGTGTTAAAAATGTATAAGCGACATCTATGTTAAGATTTGAGCACTCGTTCATATTAAGAAATATAAATAACAACAAAATGTATGACAAATATTCATTAAAGAAAAAATCTTCTACTCTTAGATGTGCTGACTTGTGTCATTCTACTTAATAGCATTAAGAACACTTGATGATTGTACTATGGGTGCAGAAACAACTAATCGCGTATATTTAGTCAAAATAACTAATATAGAAGGTATTGCACGTCTGCACGCACGGTGTTCCTTGACTTTAGGAACTTATATCTGCGAACGAATGATCTTCCATGAGTTTTGAATCCAGGACAACACTCGCGTTTCTGTTCGGTCAGCGTTCATTACAGGCCTATCTAAAACATGTGAATCTTTCTCTCATTTGGTGTGTACGGTTCGGTTCGAAATCTAATAGAAATCTAAATGGTCTTCTCGAGATCCAAAGATCTAAAAAAAAAGGTCTAAACTTCTGAGCTCAAGAAAATGTTCAAGCCTCCTTTCGGTCGGTGTTCGGATAGCTGAGAAATTTTGTGAACTTCTCTGATACCACGGAAAAAGTGCATAATGTAAGATAAAGTTAAAATGCTTTCTGGGCACTCTCTGAAGATCCCAAGAAGGCTGAAAATATTCCAGATCGATTCGCTATGATAGGCTATTTATATTCTGTAAGTCCACTTTATACACACACACACACAGGCAACCATTTTGTAAGACCCTAGACTAAAGTTAAGGGAATACAACGTTGTTTCCGTGTGCAAACGTGGCTGCAGATCCTTCTTCCGATGAAGTTCTTTTTATCATGCATATGAATTAGAAGTAAGCGCAAGACCTTGATCAACTTGAGCGCATTTCTCAGAAAATGCAGATGCAGATGCAGGGTATAAGAACAATTACAATAATTTCCCAGACGTCTTGTATAGTTCAGATATCTTTTTTTCAGACTTGATTACGTCATATTTTACTCGGACCTTTCTTCGAGAACATGATGTAAGCAAGTTTCGCCGAAAGAATGGAATATATATTGTTGTTCAAACAAAACTGACACGCCAGAAGACCATTATTAATTTGCATCTTATTTCTCTTGAATGTCCACCCATTCTTATTCGATTCATACACTCTTATTTAAGCAACCGTTCATTTTCTATTTCATATCCACCAGGCGTTTCTAAAATAGTTTATATTGTTCGTGAACTACCACAAAGAGCTGTTCTATCCCCACTCTATCCCCACTTTCAATTTTTTCTTATGACGTTCCTATCAAAGTGTCGTTAAATGGTTTTCTAAGTATGTATGCTGACGATACTGTTGTATGTCATACTAGTCCTTCTGCCTCTATCGATGACCTTCAACTTTTTACAAAAACACTCACAAAACCTTAGATGCCGTTTTCCGCTCGGCAATGAGATGGAAAATGGTGAACAATACAAAAAAAATACAGTTTCAAATTTTCTTTGGCCAATCAACGCTGCCCGATACTTCTGATCTCCATTACAATGGTCATCGTCTTGAAATGTTGCTATCGTATAAATATCTAGGAATATGGATCGATAGTGAATTAAGTTTCTCACATCATATACAAAAAATTAAATCAAAATGTAGGAAGAATATTGGAATTATTAAATTCGTGGCAGCCCGGGGAAAGGAAACTTCGCGTAGGGTTATTTTACTGTAAAAATCCAAAATATCTTCTCTCTCATATTCGTTACTCAAGTACGCCTTTGCTATCTACCACTAGTTGTCACCAATTAGATTCTATTCAATTTCAGTCATTAAAAATACTAATTTACTTTCCATTAATATCACTAAAATCCATGCTAGATATCCTACATCTACTCCATTGGAAGGATTTGGTACATATAATGCTTCTCAAATTTGTCTTTTCTTTATAATTTCTTCCTGATGTTGTATCGGGTTTTTTCTTTTTTGAAAAATGTAACGTCTTTCAAAAATACTTGATCCACAATTTTTCTCGTTCTCATGGTTTTAATTTAATAAATGATCTTGTAAATTATTTGACAACAAATGTACACATATTTTCTGATTTTTCACACTGTTTCACTGTGTTCACAAGTGCATGAATTCGTGTCAGATAACCGCCTTTTTTCACTGTTTATTAAATGTAAATTATTTGAAAAAATGTACACATATTTTCTGATTTTTCACACTGTTTCACTGTGTTCACAAGTGTATGGATTCGTTGTCAGATAACC